AGAGCTTGCCGATCGTGCTCAAACCAGGAAGTGGATGCACGTTGTAGACAACATGCTCAAGTTGCGCATTCAGCTAAGCTACATGCGTACGCTAGCTATGCATACGCTTGCATATTGCGCGATGGAGCTGTTTAATAGGGTGTCTGAACGATTTTTCAATTTTCAATTTGGGATCGTTTTTCACCATTTTTGTTTGATATTTGAATAAAAAATGTTATCAGAATAATACATTTCAAATTTCAAGTCTCACCGATGTTTCTATCAAAAGTTACAGCCCCTCCAACACGCTGGTATATTCATATCATTTTGGTCAAAATCGACGAAAAAGACGTCCACGCAGAGTGATGTTGTTTTGCTAAATTTAGCCAAACAGCTGTATCGCGCGATATGCAAGCGTATGCATATCGTACGCATGCTGCTAAGCCAATCCGCGACTTGCAGCTTGAGCTACGCTGTCTCCGCGACATGTGCGATTGACTAGTATGGTTGGCGTTCGTCGCACAATAAACCCGGAAGTGAATGCACGTTATAGTCAATGGCAATATCGCGGAGACACAGTCTCCGCGATATTGCCATTGACTATAACGTGTATTCACTTCCGGGTTTATCGAGGGAATTGCCAACCATAATTTCAGTCACTATAATGTTTAATTGAATTTGGGGTTTCGTTCGTGCGCGGAGATGTTACGCGATGTAACCATGGTTTGGACTGAGCGGAGCGCACGCCTCCTAATTAGCTGATCCACCAAATAGCGAGAAGGGTATTTTTAAACTGTTATCAGTTGTGATCCCTGGGGGCTAGCGAAAATATAATCACATAGAATTGTTCCTTAGGACTGGGACTACTTATCGATCGGGGCGTCATATCTCAAAAGTGACAAACCTCAGAGTTAGCCAGGACACAATGTTTAAATTGCTGTTTTGACCAAGATATTTTTAGAATTTCGGGGGCTACGCCCCTTTGGAAATATTGGAATTCACCTGCTCTTTCATATGACACCTCATTCATTGATTATCACCTTCAGGATCACAACTGATAAAGGTTTGAATCTCGATTTGAAAAAAAAAATTGACTTTTTTTGCATGGTCGCGCAATGCACGTAGGCTGCATAGGGATGCGTGTAATCTCTATGGGAAGAATTTTAGCACACAACATCGGGTGCGCGATCAGACACCCTATGTTTAACTCTGCGTGTACGTCTTTTTGTTCGATTCTGACCAAAATGCTATGAATATTGCAGAGTTTTTGAGGGGCTGTATCTTTTAAATAGAAACATCGGTGAGTCTCGAAATTTAAAAAGTATTATTCTGATTACATTTTTTATTCAAATATCCAACAAAAATGGTGAAAAACGATCCCAAATTGAAAATTTGTTCAGACACCCAAACTTAAGTTCAATGGCAATGTGAATGTCAATAAGTAATTATTAAGTCACACCAAGGATATTAAGACATGTCAAGCTTTCTCCTCGCACCAATACATTGAGTGAATGGAAGCCAGTGATAGCTAATAAGAAGGGCTCTTGTAATTGTCGGCGCCAATTTAGTAAAATGAGGCTGCAATTCGCCGAGATCAGATGAACGTTATGTGCATGCGTTAAATCATGTAAGCTAAAGACAGTTCTTCAGTTCTTCTTTTTCTTCCAGTGTACAGGTAAGTGCTGCCACCAGCAGTGGAGCAGCAAAGCAGTTTCCAGGCTAGGAACTTTTATGACTCGACTACCTCAACTGATTAAACTGAAGAACTATAGCTGTAAATAGTCAAACTTGACCGAACGCCAAACCGAACGTAACAACAAATAACCACTGCCGAACACCGACGAGGTCGCAAATACGTCTACGTAACACGCATTATTATTAATCATACATGTACATCGCCAAACACCTATAATGATTGTAGCAACTGTCTGTGAAGAAATGATCATAGATCTAAATAAAGATCGACGGTATACCGCTAGAATCGCGGTAATGGTTCAAAATGAAATTGTAATACTTACAATAATACAAGAATGTAAAGATTTTAGCAAAAACTGTCATGCGTCAGTGAGCCTTTCATCACAATTCAACGTTCCTCTCTTCGTAGCTGCGTAGACTTCAAACGCTGCCCTGCTCGAGATTCGCTGAAGCTTGCGATGCCTACAGCCTAGCCTGGCGCTGACCTGGGAGTGCATAGGAGTACATGGGATGATGGGCAGCGTTTCATGAAACCGTCACAAGTACAAGCAGTGGAGGATTCAGGGGGGGGGTACCGGGGGCACGCCCCCCCCCCCCCTCCCCCGGTAAAGAAGGGGGAAGGGGGAAAAGAAGGGGGAAGGGGGAAAAGAAAAAGGGATAAAAGGAGAAAAAGGGGGAGAAAAGAAAGAAAGGAAAGAGAGAAAGAAGAAGAAAAAAGGGAGGAGAGAAAAGGGGAGAGGAGAAAAAGGAGAGAGAAAGGAAAAACGGCGGCAGGGAACAAAGGGGGAAGAGAGAAGGGGAAAAGAAAGAAAGGAGGATGATATTATAAAAAGGTGTTTTTATTACCGGGAAAGGGACGGGGGCACGCAATGTTGCAGTGTGCATAATGGGGTCCTTCCTTGTCAAGCGTGTAACCCCCCTCCCCCCCCCCCCCCAAAAAAAAAGTACAATAAGAACAACTCTATTTCTCGCTTTCCATCTCGTCTAAAAAAATCTCAATCTCTCATCCATCCCTCTCTCATCCCTCTCTCTTTCATCCACCCCTCTCTCACTCTCATCCATATATATCCCTCTTAGTGTGGGCTGTTGGGGATATTTTGGTGCAGATTCTTCTAAAAGCACCAAATTTGGCCCAGAGGTAGATTATACCATACTTTTACGATTTCTGCCGGACGCCAAGAAGGGCGCTCTCTGGGACTGCCATATTGGGCAAATCCAAAATGGCCGCCATCTGAGTTAAAGGTCAAGCGTAGTTCCAAAAGGAAAAGCGCTTGTATGATAATAGTTTATATTTTTATAGGGTTTTGGGGGGTCAGAGAATCTGATTATGATGTTCATTCATTGATTTTAGGTCTCCTTGGGGCTCCCTTACTGGTCATAATGGTCAAATCCAAATGGCCGCCATCTGAGTTACAGGTCAAGTGTAGTTATGACAGGAAATGGGCTAGTATGATAAAAGTTTATATATTTCTGGGGTTTTCTGGGTCAGAGAATCTGATTATGATGTTCTTTCATCGATTTGAGGTCTCCATGGGGCTGCCATACTGGTCATATTGGTCAATTCCAAAATAGCCACCATCTGATAGTTACAGGTCATGTGTAGTTTCGAAAGGAAATGCGCTAGTATAATAAAAGTTTAAATATTAAGGGGGTTTTCGGGGTCAGAGAATCTGATTATGATGTGCTTGTATCGATTTGAGGTCTCCTTTGGGGCTGTCATGCTGGTCATATTGGCCAAATAAAAAATGGCCGCCATCCGAGTTAACGGTCAAGCGTAGTTTCAAAAGGAAAAGGATCATCAAATAAATGTGCCTGTCAGAAAGAACGGTTTGTATTTTTACAATGCCGACGCTGAAGGTTATACGAGATAAATCCACTTCTACGTAAATATTTTAAAATGAATATCTTACTTTTCTGACTCGATGGCGTTTAGATAGGACGTTATTTTCTTTTGTGCCGAATGGGGTAGGATTGGTGCAGATGGGATGAATTATGTTTCAGTGCCCTCCATACCCCCCCCCCTTTTTTTTTCTTTCTCTCTTATCCCGTCTCTCTCTCTCTCTCTCTCTCTCTCTCTCTCTCTCTCTCTCTCTCTCTAGCTCTCTGGTACTCTCCTCGGCATCACGACCGGTTGTTAAATTCATTATACTTTACATGTAGTTGTTGTTTCACTTTTTATTAAAGCTTAACTTTTTATATTTGATTAATTGGTCAGCCTCATACAAGGACCACCTCCTTTCTGGCTGCTACCAGCATTAGCAATTTCCTTTGTATTATTCATGTTTGTAAATTGATTCTGTGTATTTCTGTGTTTATCTATGTTAGTAATAATTACAATTATTGTAATTGTGTGAAACTTTGTAAACTGCTTTTGTTTTTACCCTGTATGTTTTTTTATTGCTTGGCAAAATAAATTGAATTGAATTGAATTGAATTGAATTTCTCCTTCAAGTTTTTATTTACCATGTCATTAATTTAAGCTTATAATGGAAGTTACAAACTGATTCAGCTGAGGACGCAGGTTCAAAACTGAGTCACGTCTTTCGGATGCAGGGGCGGATCTAGCTTTTTGCTAAGGGGGGGTTGACCAAAATAATGACGATGCGAAGCATCGTCCACGAGCCGCGAAGCGGCGAACCGATTTTTTGGGGGGTGTTTATTTGAACCCCGTAAGTGATGTTTTCCTGGCATCTATTAACACAATGGAGACCATAAAAAGCAGTGCATGATAACGTCTTTTTAAATCAAGTAACAGTTAAATACACAGTTATATCCAGAGTTATGTGTTTGGTTAAGTTACCAGATTAGTTGAAAATCTTCTCACAATATTTGCACTTGAAAGGGTTTCTCTCCAGCGTGCGTTCTTTTTTCTTTCTTTTTTTTTCTCACTTCGGCGGTGGCCCGTGTCCTCAAAAAAGCTGATGGGGGGGGGGGGGGGGGGCAAGGGACTCTGTGACATTTGTTCGCCCAACCCCCCCCCCCCCCTCCCCCCAAAAAGAAATAATAATAATAATAATAATAATAATAATAATAATAATAATAAAAATAATAATAATAATAATAATAATAATAAATGAAATAAATACATAGAAATAGAATAAAATAAAATTACAAGTTTAAAAAAAAAGATAAGATTTAAAAAAATGGTCCCCGGATTTTTTTTTTTGGGGGGGGGTTGCAACCCCCCCCAACCCCCCCTCTAGATCCGCTTCTGGGATGGTGACGTTTAAAGTCGGTCCCCAGACGGCCTGGCCAGACGTATATATCATATCTGATTGATTGATACACGTCTGTAAAAAATACACACACATGTACCGTATTGTACCGTAGATGGCGACGCAATGATAAATCAAGTTTACAAAATGGCAGCCCCCACGTTATTTGTTACACTGATCGGAGTGACAGTGAGATCCGTACTATTCAACTCGTTTGTATCAAGCTGGCTGACTGATCGAGTTGAAATTTCTACACCTCTTACATCATGGAAATCGAGTAAGTTAGAAATCTCACAAAACCATTTAGACCCTATATTTCGTACATCAAAGTCTACAAAAAGTTGTGCACTGCACTGTTTGTTGGCTACTGACTGTATAACTCCGGGAAGCTCCAACACCGGCGCCGCAGGCGTCGGAGCTTCGGGTGGTTTCGTTGGTTTCTCGTGGGGGCTAGTAAAACAGCCGATTGGGTGATATTATCGTTAAATCTGCAAAGGGAGTACTTACAATTTTTACATCATAGGGTGCACGACTCCTCAGGGCTCAACTCCAATCACTTGAATGTATAATTTGAAGAAGTCTTCGATGTTAGTTCCGGCTGGATTGCCAAGACATGTAGTATTATACACATGAATGTTTTTTTTTGCGTTGCCAATTTGATACTGACTTCACGATTATAGCGATTAGTATAGCATACAAAGGCCTTGCACAGAGTTTGCCGAATTAAGCGAACTCCCTGCGCGCACACCTCTTCTTCACTAATCGCTATCATCTAAAATTTCCAAATATCTGATACCATAGATCCACGACCCTGGCACAAGTCGGAAGCAAGGGTACTGTGGTCATACATTGCCAAGAAGACAAAATAAAAATGAATTAATGCTAACAGGGCATTAATTATATTTCTAATTTGTTCTCTCAGTGATACCATAGTACCAGTTGGCTAGCGCTAGCGCTAGATCAGTGATGTCAGACATTCGTAAATTTTGAACCATATCAAAAGATACTAGATACTCTAAAGATACTCTATAGACCTACATGTACGTTATATTATCTAGGTTTGTTTGTTTTTCAATCAAATCTTGAATTTAGAGTTTTAGACCAAATGTGATGTTTAAAATGTACATGTTTCATGCAAATTTTGTTAGTAATTATATGTAGAACTTTGACTCGGGTATTCTAGATCTATTTTGAGAAAAGAAAGAATGGCTCAATTTGTTTTTGGAATTCTGTAGACCTATTTCTTTTTCATAGGAGCTTAAATTTGGGATGTGCATGAAATGAAACTGCCAAAATACAATGCCATAGATCTGCGATCCCATACATGAAACATATCTTTGTTCATATTACATTAGTCATCTAATCAGACTCGTTGTGTTTCTGTGTATCTCTTTCCTCGTTTGATAGATTATCTCTCTCTCTCTCTCTTTATTTCTGTATCTCATTAATCTTTCTTTCTGCTATATGTCTTTTTCTTTGGTACGAACAGTGGTCGAAGGTTTGACTTTGCTTGAGAGGGGGATTTCGCCGTATGCTGGAGATACTTTCCATGAAGTGAGTCCCATGGCTTTCACTATAATTATCTCTTTATCTAATAAAAAAAAAGTGTATAATTTGTGCTTTGATTTCAGTCTGAAAATGAAATAAGAGTTCTCACTTATACAAATCCCCCCAGCTTTCAGTTTTTATGTTGTGGAAACAAACTTATATGTTACATGTAGGTTTGAAATTACACTAAAAAGACGGATGAATTGTTTTTACAAAAAATAATGTTGGTAGATAGATACAGTCATTCCTGTCTTGATGCATTTTAGGAGAAACACATTTATCGTCGCTGTTTTCACGAAGTGACGGTAGTGAAAAAAAATTGCATTCACTTTGCGTGACGATTTTCCTCACTACCGTCACTTCGTGAAAATAGGGACGTTATAAAAGAAAGGGGATTTTTTTTTTTTTTTTTTTTTTTTTTTAAACTGGAGTTTCCTCTAGCATTTTTAGATAGATTTATATAATATTCAAACACTTCATCTTTATCTTTAAAAAATTGGATACTATCTCTAATGATACATTAAATAGTTAAATTTCTGTTTTAGTTTTGGAAAGTCAAATTGTATGCTTGAAAAACAAGAAATAAGGACACAATAAATACAAAATATCATGGTGAACATAATCTTGATTACAATGAAGGTCAACAGGAAGAAATTTCTAAAAAATTTGGATTTGTTTGTAATACATGTATTGTGCTAATGTGCTTCATGACTATTCTTGTTTCTCCAGACCCCTTTGTTGCTATATATCTTCTACTATGTGCGTTCCATCTCTCCGACCCTGGTGCCGGTAATGTTTGTCATGGTGGATCTGATGACGGCATTCATACTGCACAAGGTGGCCACCAGGACAATGAAATACTTGGTAAAACTTCTATTTGTAATTTCTTTATTTTTGTAGTAAATACTAACTTGAAAATACTTTTGTTGAGGATTCTTTTTGAAGAGAAAGTGACTTGAAGTTATCTGGAAGTATTTGTCATACAGTAGGTGGAGTGTCTGGATCTGTAAAATGTAAGCATTAAGCAAACTCTAAAAATACCAACAACAAATCCCCCAAAACGGTGCAGAAATGGCATTACCTGGAAAGCACATCACACACCGTGACTGTATGTTATTGGTCGGAAAATCTGAGCTCAATTTCTTATATGCTTATTATTACATAATTTGATATTTCTACCAAAATTGTTTCACAGACAATATTAATCTGTTAACTATTAGTGGATATTTTGTATGATTCTGTGAGATCTTATTTTCTGGTGTTATGAGAACTTAGTTACCTTAAAGCAACAAAATTCTTCGTAAATTTGTTTTCTTGTTTCATTCTAGGAGGGAATTTTTTGAGAAATAGCAAATTTAAGGGAGAGGGGTTGGAAGCGCTACTGCAAAATCCTCTCTAGAGCCATCTCAGGTCAGCTGTGGTAATATTGTTCCATAACTCGCAGCGCTGTTGGTGCTTGCATCAAAGCAGAAATTAGGTACTGTTGGCAATTTAACCATGAGATGGCGCTGTGCAGATAGGGCAGATAGGGCAGAAAGTTCATCAGTTCAGCATCGCTTTAAACAACATTTATTTCATATATCACGCATATGTATTGAACAACAAGGGATCAAAAATGAGAATCCCTTGTTTGGATATTGAAATGACAGTAAATCACAGGGATTAGGATAAATTGCTACCTATCTTTCATGAATTAATGAAATGAGTGATTTTTTTTTTTTTTTTTTAATTAAAAAAGATTTTTGGAAAGAAATGCAATTAATAATAATATGATATTATGTCCGAGTCGGCTTGTTCAATCATACTTTTTCTTCTCTTCTTCTTTGTGGTATTCATTATTAGTACAATCTGCAGAAATGGGAGGAGAAGAGTTATGCTTCAGGAGTTGATCCTCTTCTCATCCTCTCATCGGATGTCATTTCTATTCCTGACTTGGCTATGGCAATGTAAGTTCCGCCTAATGTCTCAGTCACACCTTTGCGTATTTGGCTTGCGTATTGCTGCATATTTTATGGCAAGCCATTCTAATATTTATTCCTACTTCTTGATATCAAGAAACAATTTTCTGTTGTATAGCAATGGTAATTCTTGATATCAAGAAATAGGAATAGATGTTAAAGACCGCCAATACTACTGGGCCAAAAGGGATTAGACCACACAGCAAGGTCACTGACAGGTGGCTATCTCATTAACTCAGCTCTCAACTAACATAAGAAAAAGAGGATCATGGGGGACCAACAGGCACCGATCGGGGAAGTTTCCTATATAGAGGGAGCAAGTAGCTACAAGTAGGACAGTGGGGCTTTAAAACGTCTTGCCATAAATAAATAAATACGCAGCAATACGCAAGCCAAATACGCATAGGTGTGACTGAGGCATTAGAAAGGTTAATCTTAGAAGCAGCCAAAGCTAATCATAAAAAAGGAGTAGATTAAGCCAAGTCTTTCTTTAGAAGGGGCTTACCATCATCACTAATCTAAGACCTAAGGCCTAAGATCAGTCATCCCATCTAACCCAGCCTCCCCCCTAAAGGTAGTACGTCTCTTCTGCAGGCTGAAAATATAAACTTGTGTGAATCCGATGGTAAACAAGAGATAATACCAACGAAAAACTCCCCTGAAAAGATTAGAACGGGTAATTGCCTTTATGTGGAATTATATTGACCGCGTTTCAAAAATTATGCATAGAAAGTAGTCTGATTTTCAGACCCTTGAACCATATGGTCGTACGTTTTGTGCTGCTCAAAGATTCAATCTGCTTAATTTTGACCATTATAAGAAGTGGGTTATTGATGTGTACAGATACTCACATACCCTTTACAGTTCATTTTATCTTTTATGTATGTTATTACCAAAGAAAAAAAAAGAAGTCAGTTAGTCGCTCAATAGCGTCTGAAAGTGAAGTCTAGAAAGTAAACAGGTTTCCTTGCACAATTTGAATACTAGGACACTGCGAACGTTTACATTTCACAGATAGGACATACATGACATACTTAAATCCTGCAAAATTCTACAGCATTTGATGGTGGCTGCAAAAGGGATACACTACCTTTGAATGCATCTTCCAACTTCCCCTAATCCTGACACTTTTGTGAAGTTTTGATCGATTGAATTCAACGACTAGTTTACTGAGGAAATTTGTGCATCATTGTATTATGTCAACTTGTCATCAGTCTCTTCAAGTCAGAGTGGTACCTCTTCTTTTTTTTAAACCAGTTTTGTATCTTGTGTGATTGCAGTTACTTGCTGTGTCCATATAGCATCGTGACCTGTGTAGCTCAGTGCACCGTTGTGTTTACCAATCTTACCCTAGCGGCTACTTTTCTCTTCACGTTACAAGGTAAGGCATTCTAAACCAATTTTAAATGGATCCGGTAACTTTGTCTCAGATTCTGAAACAAAATTCTGGATTTAGCTCATGCTGCAATGATAATTATAAACCTAATTGTCTCAGATTCTGAAACAAAATTCTGGATTTAGCTCATGCTGCAATGATAATTACAAACCTTTAGGTCAGTCAGAAACCCCATGACTTTTACAAGCCGATCACCTGTCTGATATATCAAGATATTTAGGATTAGATATCAAAACCAAATTTTGCGTTTGCCTAACAGTTTTCATAACACTACAGTCTATTGCGAAAAACGAGTATGGTAAAACCGGTCACTCAAAGAGTTTTACTTTTTTCAGGCACTTCTTGATCATTTTGAAGTGCAATTTTTTTAGGGCTTCAATATTACACCATATCACAGACACTGATAACATGTAGGGCCGTGTATCTCAGATTTAACATTGTTAAATGATCCCTTTAAAGGACTGAAAGTTGTTGTGAATTGAAGTGGTCTACCTTCTTTTTTTTTCTCTTTTTTTTTACAATGTACGGTACAGCTGATATGATGAATCACATTTGAAGTGATGATAATATTGTCTGATGTCATAGTTTGATACTTTCCATTGATTTATACTTCCTTTGTTCCAATTGTCATTCTCTTTTCTCTTCACACATATGCCACTCCCGTTCTTCTTTACCGTAATTAATGGTGTATTAACCACACTTTTTTGCTGCTGAAAAAAATTCAAAGTCGGGGGTGCGTCTTATACACGGTTAAAGTTTCGATTTATGCCCCTCCACCTGGCGCTATGCCTGGCAATGTCTCCCAGCTCAGTAATCAGTGTGTTGACTCACCACTCGAAAACTAGAACAACACTCAAACTTGTCTGTCATCTTAGTTTGAAAGTAATCTTTCTGATAGATCTCAATATGTAGTTTATAATAATAATTCCTCCAAATTTTCTTCTATTACATGGCGTACCACAAGGTTCTATCCTAGGTCCTCTATTGTTTATTAATTTACATTAATGATCTTACACATTCAGCTGCACCTCGCAGTTAAAACCTTCCCGCGTGGGTTTTTTAACACGGACCTGGCTTGCGGCCGACAGAGTCGGCGAAATAGAGGGGTGCGGTTAATACACGAGGGCGGTTTATTCACCGTTAATTACGGTAATCATTGTCTTTTTGTCCCCTGTCTCTGTCTGTCCGTCTATGTGTGTGTGTGACTGACTGTGTGGTGTCTCTCTCTCATTCTTTCACTGATGTACTTGTGAAGTTTCATTCCTTTCTCGTCGCCTATGTTTTTATTTACAGGAAATGCAGTTGCAGCCACTTTGTGCCTTGCCTTTGCCTCATACCAGTCTCTGTACCCAGTCACGTTAATTGTTCCACTTGCAATGCACATAGCCATCATCAAAATGCAGGTGAGATATGTTTACCAGTCTTCCTTCTCTATTTTACCCAACAGAAGATGCCACTGAGAGAGTTCATTCAGATTTACGAGAAAAGGAGTTGACTTAAAATGACTCGGTAACATTGTTGAAGGTTGATGAACAAAATGTGTAATTTTTGTATGAAATGTTACTTATTATATCCCTTCTCAGGGATGCCAGTTTTCAGGCAATAGCCTGAATGTAGGCCCTGGCAAGTTAATTTCAGGCTTTTTTGTGTACAAAATAGCTCATTCTAGGTGATTTTTAGGCCCTCTGATCAATTCTAACTGACATCCTTGTCCTTCTACTGTACTTACCCTCTAACAGGCAAAAAATTGTGAGAAAATTCTCAGGCCACAAAGATATTTATGGTTTTCTTTGAAGGCATCACTGTGCAACACCCTCTAACAGTGATTAAAAGTAAATTCTCCCAACCATTTTTGAATTTTCTCAACCGTTTTTTCTTGAAAGTAAAAAACAAGACAGTATTTTATCTTTCAAAACTTGAATGTCTGGAATGGTATAAAGAGCCAATTTATTGATTTGTGATGATTTACATTCACCTAAAACGTAATTAAATTATATAATATATTTGGGAGAATTAGGAAATCAATCAGATCAGTTTTTCCCAATTATTATCATTAATGATGGTTCGTTTCAATCAAACTTTCAGATTATCTTTAATTGAACATCTAGCATTGAAGTCACTTCCCATATTCGGTCTGTTTCGCAAATGCTGACCATGTAGAGATTAAGTCGCTGACTACCGTCAATCAAGTCCAGTCGTTAACATGCAGTTGTCCAAAAGAAGACGTAGATGGCGCTACACTCCCTTTCATTGGTCTACTCATTCACTTTTTTTCCTTCTTCTTGTCCTGCAGGCATCTCAAGATAAATCAGTGAATTACCAAAGACCAGAGGCGGTACATTCTATCATGTTAACTGGAGCTATCTTCTTTTTCTGGTTAGCCTGTTTACTGGGTCTCTCCTTCCTCATGCTCGACTCATGGGGGTTCCTAAGGTCTACTTATGGATGCATGTGAGTTTTTAATCTATATTTTTGTACCACAAGGAATGTAACATGGCTACTGGCTGGAATGCTCCCCAGGGAGTGGAAAATGTGCATACATTGTGTTGCGGATAAACCTGAATCCGATGACCGGGGTAATAATACATCTAGCATTACACAAAGCTTGTTGTTCATAAAACTAAAGATTATCTCAGGGATTGACAACACCTGTTATTGGATAAACATCCCATGATGTCAAATTCCCAATGAGACTCCACTTGTATGCTCACTGATTAAGCTCAAAATGAGACAAGTATAATTCGTTAACCAACTTGGTCCTGGCATATTAGTGTTACCCACTCTCATCCTTGCCTTGAAGACAGCAACATTATTCAATAAATGATTTATCAACATTTTGTGTCTCATTCTTTCAGATTAGCAGTGCCCAACCTACAGCCCAACATGGGTCTTTTCTGGTACTTCTTCACAGAGATGTTTGAACACTTCAGGACATTTTTCCTCTGGATTTTTCAAATTAATGTCTTCATCTATATAGCTCCCTTGGCAATTAAAATGAGGTAAAGCACTTGTTCGCCCCTATTTTTGCCTGTGTTGCTTTCTTGTTGTTCTCAGCCATAGTGTACGCTATTGATAGGTTGGTTTTTGAGTACCGGTATTTAATCTGTTGCTAATTTGATACCTTGCTCAAGGCTGTACATCTAGTCTACACTTACAACATGAAATTTTGTTCACAAATCATTGATGACGCCAGGAGAGAGCCATTTACATGGCAATAAACTTTCAAGATTTGAAGAAAAAAATATAGTTTTGCGTCAGTTATGGTTCGACTATTTCATGGCATGAAACTTTTGCGAATTTAAACTATCGGCAAAATTTGTGAACATTTCATGCATAAAATGTTCAAGTTTTATAGGTAATAGGAAGTTTGGTCTATGCTCAATACTAAGGGGACCCCCTTATGATATACGATACCAATTCTCGCTACGGCATGTGGCAATATACATTCCCATAATGCATTGCGCCTCCGATACCTCGGCGATATTGCGGACACACTAACTTCTGGTGATTCTAAAACATGTATTTTGCTATACTACGATATGCGTATAATCATTATATACAATTCTTAATCTTGCTCGATAGTTACTTATTGTGAAGAATACACAAACAGTTACCACGTTTATTTTTTTAAAGAAATGTACCAGCATTGGCGAACGCCAGCGCTTGGAGAAACTCTGTCGGAAAAGCTTGGCAGCTGCAACACAAGTGGCTTCTTTTCCCAAGCCATGACTGTGCACTATCTTCAGTAATTTTTAGGAATTTTTCTGTAATATACACAAGGGTCACATATTTAAAGATACTGAAGTTCTATATTTGTAATTAATTTACATCATTAGAGATTTTGGCAAAACTACATTTTCTCATTCTTGGTCCTATTGACAGTAAAGAGTAAGTCCAATACTTTGTGGCTCGTTTTGACAGGTAATTCATGTGACTGCCAAATCCTGGCAAGTTCACCAGTAAACATTGAGCGCTACTTAAAGGGATCCGGTAACTTTGTCTCAGATTCTGAAACAAAATTCTGGATTTAGCTCATGCTGCAATGATAATTATAAACCTTTAGGTCAGTCAGGAACCCCATGACTTTTACAAGCTGATCGCCTGTCTGATTATCAAGATATTTATGATTGGAATTACAAATTTTGAAAACACTACAGTCTATTTGGGGAAAATAAGTATAGTAAAACCGGCCACTCAAAGATTTTTACTTTTTTGAGGCACTTCTTGATCATTTTGATGCGCATTTTTTTTAGGGCTTCAATATTACACCATATCACAGACACTGGTAACACGTAGGGCCGTGTATCTCAGATTTAACATTGTTAAATGATCCCTTCAAGTTGTCTTGTTTTCAGCTATATGCGGTAGGGATTATTGTTGTACCCTGTATATAGTGATATGTCTTGGAGATGTTGTAGTAGAGTGGTTTTAGCAACACAACACTTATCCCTTTTTGAAAGGCATTAATTTACATTTGCCACTCTATACCCAGGAGAGAAATGAGAACCTGGTAGGCTGACAAAAGCCTTTGTGTTAGTAATTGCCATATTCCCTCACAGTGACCATGTGGTAGGAATCCTCTCCAGTTAGTGGAGATGGTGCACATTGTGCGTGAATAATGACCAGGGTAATAATATCAGAAGAGCGCTTTAGAGAAGGTATTTTGTATCAAGCGCTGTTTCAATCCAGCTTATTATTATTCACCATCAATTTCCTCCATTCTTCTGTCATCTCTTTAGAGAGCACCCGTTGTTCATAATGCTGGTCCAGTGTATTCTGATCGCCATCTTCAAGTCGTATCCATCGGTCGGGGACACCACTCTCTACCTAGCCCTACTACCCATCTGGTCTCATACGTTCCACTGTAAGTAGCACATGTCGTTGTGGCTCTGTGCATTCTTTCCTTACATCTGTTAGCTTTGGACACTTTGTTCCCGCGATGTCCTCGGAACCACGAAATCGAACCAAGTCTGAAAGGATTCACTGATCATATCGTCTCCAAAAGGTCAAAGGTCAAAGGTCATGGGGTCATTTAGGTTACTAGTGTACACATGTACTAGTAATATGCAAGAAGTCTTGATAATGTCTGTTATGTTTGGGTAAAATGGATTATCTGTGATTTGTTAATTTGTTGATATCTTTTTGGCCATGGTATGGATAACGAAGGATCCCTTTTTTTACTGTTTCGTTGTACACTACATTCCCATTTACACAATAATCTATCGTTGCTAGTTTCAGGTAATGAATTAGAATTAATTTGTGGCTAATGAATGCAATTCCATGGCAATTTGAATAGTTGTGTAACTCCATAACTCTTCTAACACAATTGTTACCCAACAAAATTGGAACAAGAAGCTCTATAAACTAGTATGTTTTTTAAATAAAGTGTAGTGATATGAAATGAATTTGGTTGAAAAGAGTTTCCATGTGATAAAAATTGCATATTTTTAAAAATATCAGCTGTAATATGATATTTTTTAAAAATTAGATAGAAGTAAGAAATAATTGAATCATGAGTTAAAGGAAACCAAAACCTTCATACTAAGTTACTTTTATTGTAAAGTTTAAGATATTTGAAAAATTTCAGGGAAAATTTGAACAAAATCGGGCAAGGAATAAGGAAGTAAGAGCTTTTTGAAATGACTAGTCACTAGAGGGTGGTATTCAATTTGATGACATCATCTGTGGACAACTCTCCATGCCTTTTGTACACCAAATTTCATGTTTTTCCTTCTTTCTTGTGATTGAGATAATGTACTCCCCCGAAAGCAAGATATAGCATGCAAAATGATGTTCTACTTCACATGTTATTAAGTCGGATCAAGAACACAAATAAATACGAAGAAAACAAAAAAATTGTGAAATTTTATGTACAAAAGGCATGGAGAGTTGTTCACAGATGATGTCATCAAATTGAATACCGCCCTCGAGTGACTAGTCATTTCAAAAAGCTCTTACTTCCTTATTCCTTGCCCGATTTTGTTCAAATTTTCACTGATTTTATTCAAATCTTTTAAACTTTACAATAAAAGTAACTTAGTATGAAGGTTTTGGTTTCCTTTAAGAGTTTATATACTGATAAAATATCCTTCTAGTAGTGTAGCCAGTGAAGTAGGAGTTTCCGTTTTCCAGACTGGCAGACAAGGATTTCCTGTAATTCCAGGAAAACTTTGGTGAAATTAGCAAGTGCCAGGAAAAAGGAACAACAGTGTATATTTGTTGTAAGGGAAACAATTATTGATATACCGGTAAGGCCCTGTGAATCCATTACTGCTAGGATTTTACGGTGGAACTATGGGTTGATGATAGGTTTAAAAAGAAGTTATTTTGTTTGGCATCCAGCCATCAAAATCAGTTGGGAGATGAATCAAGATTGGTTAAAATTTATTTAGAAAAATTCAGAGAAACATGATGGTGGATAAAGGGTATTTTCTGTAGAATCCACTCACTCAAGTAATCTAGGGCTTGGTAATCAAAGGTTAAAGCCCCACTGCACTCCTTGTAGCTACTTGCGCCCTCTATATACCAAACAATGCCTAATCGGTGCCTGTTGGTCCCCCATGATCCCCTTTTTCTTATGTTAATTGAGAGCTGAGTTGATGAGATGACCACCTGTCTGTGACCTTGCAGGGAGGTCCAACCCCCCCTTGCCAAACTAGTGCAGACGGACTTTAGAAGGCCTTTTTGAAGCTGTAGACACAATTGTCTCTCTGTTTATCACAAAAAACCAAAGAGCTTTCACATCGATGGGTCTTCAATATACTATAGACTTGACAGAAATTCACATTTTTGTTTATGTAAACTCCTATTTGGATTTGAATTCTATTATTTTGACATCTGACATCCTGTCTAGCTCTGGCTCACATGATTTCCTGTCATATTTTTGTATGGTCAGATCTGGAGATGTATTGGCGATGGCAGGAACTCAACCAACTTCGGTGCACCAAATTATGAGGCAATACACATTGAAAACGATGTGTTTTTAAGCTGTATAGCTGTATAGGAAGACCACCATCTATGAAGATCACCTTCTTGCAGGGGAAAAAATAGATGGGGGCTCGGGGTGAATTAGCCCCCGCAAGTCATAAAAGAGCCCCCAAAACTTTGCATAGATTTCAATGCAAAACAAATAAAAGAGTGTAATTTTAATGCAAGCAAGCTTGAAAGGTAGCCCCCGAAATTTTTAGAATATTTTTTTCCCTGCCCACTTGAACAAAATTTGTTTGACATGTTATGCTGTATAAAGATTATAATTATCTTGAACCCAGAGCACTTATCTCACCAACTCCCTGTTATCCCCTTGAACAGATTTCCGTAACAGCCTGGTGGTTGGCGTGATGATGCTGCTAGCTTCACTCTTAGCCCCGGTTCTCTGGCATCTCTGGATCTATGCTGGCAGTGCCAATGCAAACTTCTTCTTTGCCTTCACACTCATCTACAATACAGCACAGGTAAGGCAGGTGTATGTGTGGAAGGGGGAGGAGGGGGGGGGGAGGGGGTGGGGGGATGAGGTTACAACTAGACACTATGAACATGACGGACAAAGAAAGCGGACAAAATATACAGTTCCTCATTCTACCCTCAACAATTACTATGGTAGACAAAGGAACATCCCTTCACTACTATTATGTAAAAATCTGTAGAATAGGTGAATATGCATGTGACACCTGTTCTACAGATTTTTACATAATATCAGTGAAGGGATGTTCCATTGTCTACCATAGCAATTGTTGAGGGTAGAATGAGGAACTGTATATTTTGTCCGCTTTCTTTGTCCGTCATGTTCATAGTGAGAGGAATGAGTGTATTGAGGGGACTGTTACATGAAAGCATTCTGACATTCCATATCTACAACCATTCCTATTTTAGAGAAAATATTCCCAACTTTAGGCCTGTGGACTAATGTTTTGAACCCTACTTTCTTCTTTTTTTCTTCTAAAAAAAAATGTGTAAGAGCAAACTAAATACACTGTATTCGTGATTTTGCTTTGAGAGATTCCTCATACTTGCTGCAGAATGTTAGTGGGTAATTCATTTTTAAAAACTGCCGAGGAGGGAGAGGGGGAATTGAAATCTTGCATTGCATTTGTTGACATTTTATTAAGGATCTGATATTGTGCTTCCTACATTTGAGGCTTTGATAAAATGTTAACTGTCACTTATATATTGCTCATATATCGATTCATGGTGCTTAGACATTATTACCCTGCTTATAGCCAAGCTGCCAAGTGACACCTTGATGGACATGAGCAAATGTAGATTAACGTCTTGCCAAAGGACATTGGTGCCGGGCTGCGATTCAAACCCTTGCCTATTGTTCTGCTTCTTCATTTTGTTGGTTTAATTAGTTGGTTCATTTTTAGGTCATTCCTTCAGATATTAAGAGTCTTTTTATATACATCCAAAGAACTACTCCCAGACTACCACCAGACAACTTCCTTTTTTAAACACCCTCTCCAATGAAAATACAACTTTATATCAATGGAAAGCTATGTGAACCTTGAATAGAAATATAAAGCAATAACAAATATTTTTCCTTTCAGCACTGCGCAAAAGCAAATTAAAACCCCTTTTTTCCGCACCCCACCATATTACGGGTCAAGAGAGGTCAAATTCACCGCAGTTACAGTTAGGATATAACAAGTGGACCCCATCAGCTCACCTATATAGCTGAGCCGTGCTTGATGAATGCAAAGTCATTGTGAATATGCATACTTGACATAATATGATGTCATCAAGTTGATAGCTAGTCTTTAGGTCAACAGCTGGTACTCCTCTGGCAGACACAAAAATAGCATATAATCAATATTATTTTAATCTATGGCTTATAAGCTTTCCGCTTATGTATAATTCATCTTTTTCATTTTTCACTTCTGACAGGGTCTTTAGTAAGATACTCCCCCAAGCAATTAACTCCTTGATGATCGCCAAATTGAAGTCGGATCACAGAAAATAAAAATTGACTATAACTTAAATCTTGTTCATATATTGCTTTGTTTATGTATTTTTCATATATATGTATATTTCTATTTCTTTCTTTGTTTTAAGATTTTTCTCGTGACTGATCTTGTCTTTGGTTTTCTGCGACGGGAGTTTGCTCTCAAACACGGGATGGAGCCGCTCGACGAAGATGGCAACAAGAGACCTATTAGACTACAATGAGAGCGCTCCCCACTAAACCAGTCTGAACCAGTCTGAACCAGTTTAAACCAGTGTGAAACTAGGATATCCTTCATAGACCAAACTCACAAAGAAGTCCTTTTGAATCAGGAAAACTGAAAGAGAAGGATCTGTTCTGGGGAGAGGTGAAAAATAATTTGTGATTGTTTTCATTGTCATTATGCAAGTGTGGAAGAATATCAGAGAAAAAATGTTCCCTGAAAAGCATGGCTCTTCAAATGCCTCCATATTCTAAATATGACATGTATGAACAGCTTAAACATGAGGACCTCATTCTTATGCCACATGTTTGTGTAGTCCCATATACATCTTTCTGTGTACAGTGCTTGTTACTTTTACCGAGACTGGGCCAAATTTCCAGAACCTTGCAGTACACACCAATACTTACATGCTAAAGGATCAACTTTTTCAAATCGATTCCACACCGCTTCTTTCACAATGCTATCGCATGGCCAGAACTCAACTTTATCTCAACTTTAGACAGGTAAAACCATGTGTATAGTCCTTAGGAGGATTGGGGTATTCTCTCTTGGAAAGATGTGTTAGTTCTTTAATAAAAGAGCTGTTGTGTAATTCTTTCGCAGGTATAGAAGTTCTTTTGTTATCGTGCATGTCTTAACCAGTGTGAAATTAGGATAATCTTCATAGGCCAGACTCACAATGAAGTCCTTTTGTTCTTGTGCCTGTCTTACATCTTGGCTCATAATTATGCCGGACTAAATTTTAAAGACGATTTCAGGTCAATACTGCAGACTTGTCAGCATTTTGTAAGCCTTGGGATTCCATGTTAGACTACGGAATGCCTGAGTAATCAGGATTCGGTTTGAAAGTATTTGGTCATAAAGGGTTTGGAATTTCAGAAGGCGTACGCAGGGGGGGGGGGGGGGAGGGGGGGAAGGGGGGTGTCCCCCTCTCTCAATTTTTTTCCCTCAATGTTTTTTTTGAAAAAAAATTAATACTCCTCACTGACCCCCCCCTGAGCGAAATATCGGTCGGCGCGATTTCAAAATCTTCAAACACTCACCTTGA